GCTTTTGCTGTGTCCCAAAGATTTTGGTATGTTGTGTTTTCATTCTACTTTGATTCAAGGAATTTTTCAATTTCACATTTTATTTCTTCTCTTACCCAGTCTTTCTTAAGGAGTGTGTTGTTCAGTTTCCATGCGTTTACTCTTTTTCTGTTGATATTCCTATTGTTGATTTCTAGTTTGATAGCATTGTGATCTGAGAAGATGTTTTGCACTATTTCAATGTTTTAAAATTTGTGAAGGCTTGCCTTATGGCCTAACATATGGTCTATCATGGAAAATGTTCCATGTGCACTGGAAAAGAATGTATATTGTGCTGTTATTGGATGAAGTGCTCTGTAGATGTCTACAAGGTCAAGTTGGTGGATTGTATTGTTTAGCTTTTCTGCATCTTTGTTGAGTTTCTTTCCAGTTGTTCTATCTTTTCATTGAAAGTCGTGTATTAAAATCTCCTGCTATGACTGTGGAGTCATCTATTTGCCTTTTCAAATCTTTTCAAGTCTGATTTATGTATATTGGGGCTCTTTCATTGGGTCCATAGATATTCATTGTGGTTATATCTTCTTGTTCAATTGTTCCTTTAATATTATACAATGTCCTTTCTTGTCTCGTATGGTGGTTTTTGTCTTAAAGTCAATTGGATCAGAAATTAATATTGCCACTCCTGCTCTTTTACAGTTGCTATTTGTTTGATATATCTTTCTGTAACCTTTGATTTTTAGCCTATTTTTGTCTTTGTCTCTAAAGTGTGTCTTTTTTAGACAGCATATTGATGGATTTTGTTTTCTTATCCAATCTGCAACTCTCCATCTCTTGAGTGGTGCATTTAATCCATTAACATTTAGTGCAATTATTGATGAGTATGAATTGGTTGCTGTCATTTTGTTATGAGTTTTTTCATGGTGTCCCTGTTTTTTTTGTTCCATATTATTTTCTGTGCTGAGCTCATTATGTTTATGAATTGTGTTATCATATCCTTTGTTGCTGTTGTTTTAGTATTTGCTGAATATTTACACTTGTCCTCTTATTTATTGTGATGTGAAGGTTTATCATTTTCCTTTGAGGTTACCTGTGATTTATAATTTTCTCCCTGAGTTTGGAATAGTCCATTCTATCTTGTAATTCTCTTGACTTCCTCACCATTCAGAAGTTCTGTAACTACCAGTATTTTCCCTCTTTTTGGTTTGTAGTTGTCCTCACTTGCCATTTGATGTCTCTGGTTCCCTGTTTACAATCTTGTAAGCTCATTTTACTCTTGATGTGTCCATAGCTGTGGTTTCTGGGTTATTTCATGTTGTGTATTAATGGTTGGTTGTTGTTTGCTATTTTTGGTTCTCTGTTCAAAGGACTCCCTTTAGTATCTCTTGTAAGGTTTGTCTGGTTTTAACAAATTCCCTTAGTTTCTCCTTATCTGCAAATCTCCTAATTTCACCATCATATTTGAAGGATAATTTTGCCAGGTATATAATTTTGGTTGAAAATTTTTGTCTTTCAGGGTTTTATATATACCATCCCATTGCCTTCTTGCTTGCATGGTTTCTGCTGAGAAATCAGAGCTTATGTTTACTGCTTATTCTTTGTAAGTAACGTTTTGTTTTTCCCATGCTGCTTTCAAGATTCTGTCTTTGTCTTTGGTATTGATGAGTTGGATGATGATATGCCTTGGTGATTTTCTTTTAGGGTCTATCTTGTTAAGGGTTCATTGGACTTCCTGAATGGATATATTCTCATCTTTCATTATATCAGAGAAGTTCTCTTCCAACAAATCTTGGACAATTTTCTCAGTGGTTTTCTTTTCCTCTTCCTGTTCTGGAATTCCACTGACATGTAGGTTATTCCTTTTGATGGTATCCCACATGAACCTTAGGCTTTCTTCATTTTGTTTTGATCTTTTTCCTGATTGATCCCTTTCCATAGAAGTATTCAAGTATTTGTCTTCAATCTCATTAATTTTGTATTCCATTGCATTAATTCTACTCCTTTGCCCTTTCAATGTGTTATCTATTGCTGATAATTTAGTATTAATCTTCTGTATTTCTATCTATAGGTTTAGAATCATTCCTAATGTTTCATTTATTTTGTCATTTTGTTCTTGTATTTTCTTCCAAATTTCTTCTAGGGTTTTGTCTGTGTTTTCCTTGGTCTGTTTCTCAATCCTTTGAAGATACCTAAATATATTTCATTTGAATTCCTTACCAGAGAGTTCCAATGCTTTTTCATCCTCAGGGATGTGTTCTGGGTTTGTATCCTGATCCCTTGTTTCCACCACTTTGTCTTGCTTCTTTGTGTGGACTGTGATGGTCTGTTGTCTCCATGACATTGTGACTTTGTTGTATTTAGATCTTTGTTAACTGTTTGTGAAGAGCAGCTAAGGGTGAGCCAGGCTTCTCTTGGTGGTTGTTTATTGTAGGCCCATTGGTGGAGAAGGAGGTGATGACTCTCACTCAGTAAATGAAGCTGGAGGAGGTGTGGGCCTAGTTATGTTGTATGGGGACTGTTGCTGTCTACCACTCAGTTAGACAAAAATAACAATTGAATAACCATCTAAAAAGTAAAAGCAAATGCACAAAAAATACAGCATGTAATCACACAGGAACAGTAAGCAAAAAAGAGAAAAGGGAAAAAAAACAAAAACAAAACAAAGCAAAAACCACCACAATATCTAGAGAGAGGGCAATAAGAGAAAAAAAAGTAGAGAGTGAGAATTATAAAGGAAAAAATGGGAAAAACATGAAAAGAAAAGCAAGGAACAGGGTTACCCACAAGAAAGAAAGAAAGAAAAAAAAAAAAAAAATTGGAACCAGCAACAGGGAAAAGAAAAAAATCTGAAAACAAAACCTGGGAAGGGAAGAATAAAGAATGATAGTAAAAAGGACAAAAGTAATAATAGTAGTAGTAAGTTTAAAACAGACAAAAACAAACAAACTAAGAAAAGAAAAAAGAAAAAAAAAAAAAAAACTGGACAAGGAGCACAGGTCACCCAGCCTCCATGGAAACACACAGACTGGGATGGAATTCCTGCCAGCCTAGAACGTGGATGGGAGTGAGGAATGGCTGAACCTCCATTCACCAAGAGGATGTGGGGTATAAGAGTAACAAGGAGAATGTCGCACCTTTCTAATAGTCTGTGCATCCATGATGTTTTTGTGGTTCCCAGCAAGCGGAGCCTGTTCTTAAGTCCCTGGAACCTGTGAGAACGTTGTCACTTTAAATGTTCAAAATGGTCAAGCTGCTTGTAAACATTTAAAATGGCTGCACCCTCTGGACAGGCAAAAGTCTGCAACTCAGCCTGCCTTTCTTTTCTCTGCTTCCCCTTTTATTCCCCAGTCACCAGAGCAGTCCTCCATGTAGTCCCTGGCTAGCAGGGTTGATTTTTAGGTTAATTCTTAGGTCCTACCCCCACTTGGCAACATCCAACTGTCTGTGCTGTCAGGATCACTGCCAGACTGCAGCTCTGTATGTCTCCTTTTTTGGTATTTTCATGCAAATTCTGCTAGTTGGAGTTTAGTCCACTTCTATATTCTTCCCTTCAAAGCTCAGGGATCCAGGATTATCTTCTGGGTCTGTGTTAATTGATTCCCCTTTTCTTGTTGAAGAGGGTCTGTGCAGTCTTTCTGCCTATTCTGCCATCTTACCAGAACTCTCTCTATCTCAGTTTTACAATGGAAGAAACTAGGAGGATTTAATGAGTGACTCACAATTAGTGGTAGTGTTGAGATTCCCAATTTGCTTATTTAGGACCAGGTAATCTGACAGAAATGGTTAAGGACTTGATGAATAGTTGAAAGGTTGGCAGTTTGAACCCACCCAGAGATGCCTTGGAAAACAAGCCTGATGACCTGCTTCTGAAAGATCACAGTCCTGAAAACCCTATGGAGCAGTTCTACTCTGCACACATGGTGGGGTCACCATGAGTCGGGATTGACTCAATGGCAACTAACAACAAAAACAATGCTTATCATGGAGGCCCTGGGTGATTAGAAGTTAAAGATTGCTAACCAAAAGATTGGTGGCTTGAGTCTGCTCAGAAGCACCACAGAAGAAAGGCCTGGAAATCTACTTTTGGAAAATCAACTATTATGAATACTATAGAGCACTATTCTATTCTGACACACATTCGGTCACCATGAATCAGAATGGACATGACAGCAACTTTTTTTTAAAAAAAAAATGTTTATAATATTCTGACCTCCACAGTGTAGTCCTTGAGCAGTGTCATAGGCAAAAGAACACAGTCTAGCAACCAAAAATAATGTGTTAAAGACTCGAGGTTTCTTGATGTGTTTTGGGCACATCACAAAGGAGGTCTACACTCTCTAGCAATACTTGTGGAGTCCCCTCTATTCTTATATATCCTCTGTCTCATACTTTGTGGCTGTAATATCTTCTTTCTTTTCAGCTTTCTCCCATATAAATAACCTCCTCTACATCCTTAACCTATGCCATGATGTTCTTTCTTCTCTTTTTCATTACAACTCTACAGCTTCCAAAACAGAAAATGTTTTTAGAAAGCTGGGGAGGAGAACAGTCTGAGATAGTACACTATTTAGTGGGCAGAGAGGATAGTCTGGGAACAGTCACACAATTTTAGGCCATTACAACCATACACCAGCCATCATCCTAAGGATGACACTATCCATCACTCCAGCCCTTGTGTTATCTGCCCATTGACCATCAACTGTTAGACCCATGATAATCTGTGTAGTTTCCAAATACATTGAGCCCTTACAATGCACAAAGCCATGGGCTTCAGTTTGACCTAAGGATAGGGATCTGTTTTTTAAGAAAATGGGGAAACCCAGGATGGATTGAGATCAAATGTATGCCAGTTCTTTGGTCACAGTTGAGTACTCAATAATCATAAGGCAGTGGTGATAGTAATTACAATTCTTCCATGCCACCAGCCCTGGAGAAAAATTTTCACTTGACCATAACTTGCAGTCCTTGCTTACAACTAGCTTTGGAACAGTCACACAAATGATCTTTCATTTTATCTCCTTCAGGTAAAGACACTTCTTCCAAGGATCCAACCATATCGAGTGAGTTTATATCATCTGAATGCAAGGAAAAATGTTTCCTTCCACAGAACATGAGTCCAGGTATCTACATCCCAAAAATAAGCACTAATTTATTCATACCTTCCATGAAGAATTTTGCAGAAATCATTTTATATCTGTCATCTGCAAATTCTCTTCTCATCCCTTTAGTGGCTGTCACCAAATCCATCGTTGTAGGCATTACTTTGACTGTGTCATTCTCTTGCTCACAAATCTTCCATGTCTCTCCATTACCTTCTATGGATCTTCATTGTCTCCATTTGTGTTGTTCTCCAATTATAAGATTAATTTAAACCTTCACAAGCTGGCAGTCAAAGCTATTCACAATCTGACACTTATTAGAAGCTCCTTACATATTTACTGTATTAGTGAAAATATATTATCTATTAGATTTTAGGGAGCTCTGGTAGCATAGTGCCTAAGGCCCTTGACTGCTAACCAGAAGGCTGGCAGTTTAAATCCACCAGCCACTCCTCGGAAGGAAGATGGGGCAATCTACTTCCATAGTGATACTGCCTCGGAAGCCCAAGGAGGGGTCGCTGCGAGTCTGGGCTGACTCAATGGCACATAAGAACAACAACATTAGATTTTAAGGTATAGAAGGTAGGGGTAATATTTTTTTTAAAAAAATCAGTGATATGCTCTACAATCATGGGTGAAAGAAGGGCTGTTTATGCACAGGGAGACAGCTCAGGGGGCAGCAGTGCATGGAGGGATAGACACAGGGAAGAGATAACTATCAGGAGGAAGTGGGAGGGGAGCTGTTGCATTGGGGTAAATTGTAGTCAATGTCATGAGACAATGTGTGTGTGAACTGCTGTGTGGAAAGTGAATTTGCTCTGTAAACTTTCACCAAAATCACAATAAAAAAAAAAAAAAAAAAAAAGAGAAGAAAAGAAAAAAAAAGTGATACCTTCTAAATTATACCTAAGACAGTTATTTGTTTATAGTTGGTTCTCAGAAGATGTTTGATAAATAAATACACAAATAACTGAATGAATATGTGAAGATCACTTTTGGATTCTATATTGTATCTAGCATGTTACCTTATATGTAGTTGATGCTCAATAAATATTTGTTAAATAAATGGATAAATGAATGATTGCTTGACTCCAACCAAACCAAACTCACTGCTGTCGAGTCGATTCTCACTCACAGTGACCCCCATTGGGTTTCTAAGGCTGAAAATCTTTACAGAAGCAGACTGCTCCCATCCTTCTTCTGGAGAGCAGCAGGTGGGTTCAAACCACAAAATTTTGGTTGGCAGCCAAATGCCTTAACCACTACACCACCAGAACTCTTTGAATGGTCGACTATATAGGGTGCAACTGGCTAAGAAAAAGTACATCTGTCATTAACATTGATGACATTTTCAGAATCAGTGGTTGTTGTTGTTGTTATGTGTCATCAAGTCGGACCTGACTCATAGCAACCTCTCCTTGGGTTTCTGAGGTGGTATCACTACAGAAGTAGATTGCCCAACCTTCCTTCTGAGGAGTGACTGGTGGGTTTGAACCACTAGCCTTCTAGTTAGCTGTCAAATGGCTTCAGAAGTAGTAAAGATTTTTCAAGTAATGTGGAAAAAATATCTTATTTTCAATACACATCCTTCACAAGGTGCCCCTTAGGTGACCTCCATGAAGAGAAAGTTATCATTGGAGGAAGCTCCACCTGAGCTGAACCCTGTGCCAGAAACTCTGGGGACAAACTTGTGGAAGAGTCATTTCTGTTGTGTGGTAGCTGAGACCACCTTTGGTGACAAGTTACACACCAAGCATAAGCTAAATGATCTACCCAAGGTCTCATCCTCACATGCTTACCTTCATGAGGTGCCACCCAAATCCCCACTTATTGGTTGTCATCAATTTGGTCCCTGACTCATGGCTACCCCACGTACAATGGAACAAAATAGTCCTGCCTGGTCCTGAGCCATCATTGCTTGTTTAAGTCCAGTTGCTGATTAGACAATGTCCCATCAATCACTGGTTGAGTTTTGGAAGTAAATTGCAAGTCTTTCTTCCTAGTTCATCATCTGGAAGCTCTGCTAAAACTTGTTCAGCATCATAGCAACACACAAACCTATACAATGAGATTCAATGGTCAGGAATTGAACTTGGATTTCCGCCATAGAAGGCAAGAAGTCTACCACTGAACCACCATTGCCTCAATCTCCATTTAGCAGGAGGGAAACAGAGTCTCAGAGAGAGGCAACTTATGGCCATAGCCATAGAGTAAATACCTGATGAGGAAGGGAATTAAGGCCAGTCCTTGTTCCTAATCCTGATGCTTTATCACTCCTCCCAAATGTACTTCTCAGGGATATGAAATACAGGTTTTTGAAAAAGATTTAACATTATGCATGCTTTTAAGCACACAAACTATGCAGATAGATATCACATACATGTCATACCAGGTTCTTTCTTCAGTTTCAAATGTTATCAAACTGCTTGCAGACAATGAGAACATCTTCCCTTTTAATTTCTCACAGCTGTGAAGAAGTGAATCTGCTCACTTCTCTCTCAGCTTGGATCATTGCCCAAAAATGTGGAATCACCATCTGTGGTCTCATGGACATGGTGGAGTCAGCATTTTGCTTTATCAGTGCATGAAGGGCAATGAACAAGGGGTATCTGTAGGTGAAACCAAACTGACGAGAGGCTGAACTTGTCCATCTTTCAGTATTTTTCATCATAGTGCTGTTTCCAGGAACACTATGGAGTGAGGAAGGGAGACTTGGCTCCCCTACCAGTCTCTCTTTAATACAACAGAGCTGGAGGAAGACACAAATAATCAGATACAGCACCATGATTACAGAGCCAGTTTTCAAAAGGATTAAAATGTAGCAAGATATACTTCTCACTACAATGAGTGTGAACCTGATTTATTCTCCCCACATATGATGTAGAGGGCCCTGCAGGATTGGACAGTGGACCAAGGGCTCTGTTTTGAGCATGTTGAGAACTCCAAAGCGGTTTGTTTATTTAAATCTAGGTCTTTTGAATTCCATATAAATGGATTCACATGGATGGCAAGGAGATTCACATGGAAGTGGCTATCAGTCATTAGGGGCAATTCCAAAGGATTCCAGAGAGGAGTTTGGATCAGGCTTTGGAAGGATGGAGAGATGGAGAAAGGAATCACAGTGTCAGTAAATAACTAATAACTCCCTGCTGTAGAGTCGGTCTCTACTCATAGTGACCCCTCCTTGGGTTTCCGAGGGGGTATCGCTACGGAAGTAGATTGCCCAATCTTTCTTCTGAGGAGTGGCTGGTGGGTGAACCACCAACCTTCTGGCTAATAGTAAAATGCCTTAGGCACTATGCCACCAGAGCTCCTTTATCAGTATCAGCCAAGGTCAATACAAGTGTGGCCAGATGCAGGCAGCCGAGAGCAGCAATTGCTAGAGCACTTGGGGACAGATGATGATGCATGAGCCAATGTTTAATGTGTTTAGTGAACATTCAAAATGTACTAAACACTGAGGAAAAAGATTTATATGCATAATCTCATTTAATACACCTTTTAAAAGTCTCTGTGGGGTAGGTAGTACAATTGCTAACTTGTTAATGAAACAAGCAAAGTATGTATACTAAAAAAAAAACAAACTCACTGCCGTTGAGTTGATTCTGACTCATAGCAACCCCTCCTTGGGTTTCCGAGGCAGTATCTCTATGGAAGTAGATTGCCCAGTCTTCCTTTCAAGGAGTGCCTGGTGGGTTTGAACCACCAGCCTTCTAGTTAGCAGTCAAATGCCTTAGGCACTACACCGCCAGAGCTCCTAAGCAAAGTATAGACAGGTAATTAATTATTTGGGGTGGCACAGTTAGCTAGTGGCAGAGCCAAGCCTGGAGCCCCAGTTTGAGTGACTCCCCCTCTTCTCAGCTTCATCTTTGTGTTGTACCTCCATCTAGGCATTAGTGTGCAGTGAGGCTACCAGATAGGGATTTGGGTTGGGGTTGGGGTTGGGGTTGGTTGAATGAAGATGCGTTGGAAAAAGAACCAGGCAGAGGCTTAATGGGACAAACAACCAACCAAACATCACATCAAAGTCAGGCCAGTCAAGCACATAGTGGAGAAGCTGGTCTTCAGCCACAGCATTTTCATTATTACTAGGTTTAATACAAATCTTTTAAAGGTTAGAGTAAAGGTCTGCTTTGCAGATTCAGGCCAGCATGATAGGAGCTCTGATGTGGCAAGAATTTCCAAAGGCCCTGACAAGTTAGAGCTAGAAGAAAGAGAGCTTTGCTTATCTAGTCCAACTTCTGGGTTTCATGTGTTTGATAATTACAAATGCATTTGCTGGTTTTGTCTAAAGGAGACACATTGCCAACTGTAGCTTCTCCTCATGATGCTATCCACAGATCCACCCTACCCTCCAGTTGCTGCATTACTCTGTCTCATGACCCTATTAAAGTTTTTCTATAGGATCTTTCTCCACCTGAAACTATTGTGTTGATGTAAATGGTTACTTGCTTATAGTTTTTCTTTTCCAGCTAGAATATAAGCTCCACGAGAACAGGGAGCATGTCTACCTTGTTCCCTGGTATATCTCCAGCAACTAAAACAGCTTCTGATATGCATAAGGTCCTCAATAAGTGGTGTTGAATGAATGTGCATTGTGAAGAAATTAAAGATAGAACTCTGTTTCAACCAATTACCCTAGCACACATTAATAAATATATTAGCAGGATGAAACAGATACAAAACACATGTGTGAATGTATAATGCATACAAGTTTATGATGTCAATTATATACTATATATTTTGTACATAAATACATTTCATTAAAATAGATAAAGTAATATTCATTCAAAATTTTCATAAATCATTCACAGAAGGAAATACATGTCCTAGCTTGTTCTGTGTCATACCACCACATCAGTGCCAGGCAGTGTGGGAGTAAACCCTGTACAAAGCAGAAATAACCAACATGGAATTCTAGAATCTTCCCAGTCTTCAGATTTTTTAAAATTTTTATTTTCTCTTCTCTTTTCTGGCCCTCAGATGATCATTAAGACAACTTCTAATCTCTAATTAGGAGTTCTGGTAGCGTACTGCCTAAGACACTTGACTGCTAACTAGAAGGCTGGCGGTTCAAACCCACCAGCCACTCCTCAGAAGGTTGGGAAATCTACTTCCGTAGTGATACCACCTCAGAAACCCAAGGAAGGGTCGCTATGAGTCGGGTCCGACTTGATGGCACATAACAACAACAACAACAATCTCTAATTAAGGAGGACATCAAATTAGAATTTAGTAAACACATGTGGGAGACATTGGGGGCTTCCCTTTTCTTGCATGTCCTGCCTGATCCTTCTCCCTCTATTCTTTTTTCAGATCTGACGCTCTCTTTCTGTGTGAAGAGCCGCTCCAAAAGATGTGTAAATGGCCTTTTGCAGGAAGCTGCCAGGAAGAGGCTCTGGGCTCTGGAGAATGAGAACCAGGAGGTGCAGGCACTGTTTAAGGTAAGCTTTGGGAGAATATGTGTAAGCTTTGAAGATAGAGCTTTGTATTTGCCTTCTACAGGGTTCCTATCACATAGAACATGCCTGGAACAAAGTAGGCCCTCAGGAAAACATCTGATTGACTGAATGAAGGATTATATACACGATCTCTTCTTAACAAGAATGGGTGGGAACTTGGAATAGGGCAATCATCTGGAGTGGCAGAATCAGAGAAAGCTTTGTTTCAAATCTGTCACTAATACTGTGTGACTTTTGGCAAATTAATTAAAATGGCAATCATTATAACACCTACCTCACTAAGGTGTACTGTCTAAAAGTACCAATAGTTGCCAACCAAAAAATAACAACAAATAGAACCCACTAGCTGCCCCCAGAAGAAAGATGGGGTAATCTACTTCCATAAAGATTTACAGCCTCAGAAACCCAATGGGGGTCACTATGAATTAGAATTGACTTGATGGCAGGTGAGATTTTTTTTGTTTTTTAATTAGAATGAGAGGTGGAAAAGACAACAGATAAACTAATTCTTCATCTTTCCAATTAGGTAGATAATAACTAGGTCTCTGGGTGGTGTAAGTGTTTTGTACTGGGCTACTAACCAAAAAGTTGGGGCCTTGAATCCACCCAGAGGCACCATGGGTAAAAGCCCTGACAATCTACTTGTGAAAAAATCAATCACTGAAAACCCTATGAACCATAGTTCTACTCTGGAACACAGTGGGGTCAACATGAGGTGGAATCAACTCCATGACAAAGGGTTTGGCTTTTGGTTAGATATATCTGAAATTGTGAAACCAAGGAAGAAGGGTATGCTGGATTTATTTACATTTTGAGAAGTATTTACTGGAAGAACTAACATTTGAAAGATAAAAGTTATTGTAACCGGAGATGGAAAAGAGAATATTTCTTCCAGTAATAAGCTAATATATTCTAATGCCTTTTTGTTTTGTTTTGTTTTTTAAATAGTCTCTGTATTAATTTGATGCTATTTAAAAAGTACTCTAGAAATCTATCATGTGACCAAAAAATAGTGTCTGGTTTGTTGGGAGGAATAAATGAGATAGCATCTGGAGAGAGACTGGGCGCCCCCAAATGGTATGTGCTCCATTAATAGTAACTAAAACCAAAAACAACCAAACTCACTGCTGTTGAGTTGGATCCGACTTATAGCGACCCCTCCTTGGGTTTCTGAGGCGGTATCACTACAGAAGTAAATCACCCAATCTTCCTTCCTAGGAGTGGCTGGTGGGTTTGAACCGCCAGCCTTCTGGTTAGCAGTCAAGTGCCTTAGGCACTGTGCTACCAGAGCTCCTAATAGTAGTGGAGGGGTGTTTTAATTTTGTTTGTTCAATCTCTGGAACTCAGGAACTTGGAGTCGTTGGCTACTAATTGGTAAAGTTTCTTCGGGAGATCTGGTGGTGTAGTGCCTAAGGCACTTGACTGCTAACCCACCAACGACTCCTCAGAAGGAAGACTGGGCAATCTACTTTCGTGGAGGTACCATTTCGGAAACCCAAGTAGGGGTTGCTATGAGTCACAGATGACTCGATGTCACACAGCAACAGCAAAGTTCCTTCAGTTTGCATGGTCTTTGGCACCGGCAGTTTGGATTGAGAATGCTGGCCAATCGGGCAGAGACTTGGGTTGGCAAGCTTATGGGCAGGACTGAGACAGCCTGAAGTTGATTGAGTCTAGGATCTCATTAGAGCTTGACAGCTCAAGAGCAGGTGACCTTCAGCAAGTGACTTAACTTCCCTGTCCTGGCCTTCTTGATGGTGAAGCAGAGATAAACCATTTTTAGATCCAAGACACCCCTGATTATTAAATGCACTATTATCTTATGTACCTCTAAGAAAGAAAATATGTTGCCAATCAAGTATAAGGCCATGCTTCCTTATTTTATAGTTAAGAAATAGTTAATATCATAAAAGTACATCTCAGGATGGATAAAATACTGTAATGAGTCTGCCTTCATAGTATTGTTGTGAGAGTAAAATGACATATTGTTGACAGAGCTCTTGATGATGTGTTTGGCGTGTAGTCACCTCTTTGTAAATCCATTTTACCCAGCAGCCCTTCCTGCATTACCAGGATCTTCATGTTCCAAGGATGTGGGTCCTTTGGAACCCTGGTGTGCCATCTGTTCCCCAGAGTTCTGATCTTGCCGAACTAGGGGCTTCTTTGCTTGGATGCCATTATCCTCTTCACCCCCAAGGGTTTTCTCAGAGCAGGGTGCCATGGTTAAATCTCTGGTACTGGGACCTGGCTTTGGAGAGAGAAGGGACGTTTGGACTGTGGCTAGTTGTAACAACTCTGGAGGTTTGGGAAAGCAGCAGAGAAAGATTTCAGGAGATAATCAAATCTGGGCAGTGATGTGGATCTGTTTTTTCAGGTATAAAATATAGACATTTGCAGGCCTCTTCTTGCTCTGCTGGTGAGCATAAAAATTGGCACAACCTTTCTGGAGGGCAGTTTGCTCTGTGTCTAAGAACTAAAAATATGCATATCCTTGCTCTCCCCTACTGCGTTTCTCAGAATTACTTTTGTCAATGCAATCAAGGATGTGCACAAAAATTGAACCATAAGGATGTTTATCACAGTACTGTTTAGGATGTTAAAAATTTAAAACAATCCAAATGTCAAACTAAGGGGAAATAATAGACCACATTATGTTACTGCAACAATGGTATATGTAATCATTAAAAAAAATGTAGACTATATAATGAAATGGGAAGTGGTTCATACACCATTGCTTAATGACAGAAGAAGATTACACTATAATTTATGAAGTATGCATCTATTAATATAAAATAGTTACATAGAAACTCATATATCAGAGAAAAAGACTCCAAGTTATACATACAAGTATTAACATTGATGAGCTCTAGGAGGTGGGATTATAAGTGATTTTTATTTTTGTGTGTCCTGATTTTTGTTTGTCAGCATTATAAAAATATTTATTATACATAGATTCACAATCAAATTTGCTTTTAAGGTGCCATCCATGGTTCACCCCTCTCCCTACATACTTTTATTTTTTTTCCGCTTGCACAAATGATAGTCTCCTGTGCTATATCCTGGTTTCTTTTTATTGCTGCTGTTTTCCATTTATCAGTATATATTTGGAGCTTGTATCAGTACACAAAGAACTCCTTATTATTATTTTTTTTAATGCCTGTACATATCATAATTTTAGGTTGTTCCCTAGTTCTAATGTGTGATATAAATATCAATGCCAAAATCAATACAGCTTTACAAGGCATTTTGTATATAAGGGAGATTATTAGCAGGACACTCCTATAATCCCAGAATGATGCATTGTTCTTTCACTCAGGATCTTTCAGCAAGGTTGGTGAGTATCCAGTCCCAGAAGTCCCAGTTCCTCATCACCTTCAAGACCATGGAGGAAATCTGGAAGTTCTCCACTTACCTGAATTTAGGTATGATGTGAGCAGATGTGCAGAGGAGCAGTTACTTCACAGTTCAGCCTATTTGTAGAGCTTGATATTAGGACTTGATCTGACTCTGATAATTAAAGAAGAGTTGTTGTTGTTGTTATGTGTCATCACATCGGACCTGACTCATAGCGACCCCTCCTTGGGTTTCACTATGGAAGTAGATTGCCCAACCTTCTTTCCAAGGAGTGGCTGGTAGGTTTTATCCTCCAGCCTTCTGGTTAGCAGTCAAGTGGCTTAGGCAATATGCTACCACAGCTCCCAATTAAAGAAGTAGAGCCTTAAAATGGATGGCTAACTTTTGAAATATCATAAACTGCCTGGAATGAAATCTCAAACAAATGTTAACTATTACTCTAAAATGCCACATGAAGAAGTTGGCTTCCTTGTCTTCAGGGAGATTCTTGCTTATGAGATAACCAAGAAATTAGCAAACATTTATTGGTCATCTACTAAATTCAAAGTACTTAGATGTGAAATTGACAGTTAAATAAAAGAAAGAAACTAGTCTTGAGTAACATCAAAATTGTCGCTGTTGTTAAATTGGTTCTTGACTCACGACTGATCTTGTTGATCTTGATCTTGTTGTTTCATAGGGTTTTCATTGGTTGATTTCTTGGAAATAGATTTCTGGGTCTTTCTTCCTAGTCTGTCTTAGTCTGGATGCTCTGTTGAAACTTGTTCAGCCTCATAGTAACACACAAGCCAGCCTCCTAGCTGCTCAAACTAATTAAGTTCCGGAGATTTTAACTCATGCATTTGGAAAAGTATCAAAGAAGGAGATAAAGAAATTATTGGTCTGTTGCAGCCTGAGGCTGCACTGTTTTCCAGAAGATAAAAAAAGATGTTGCAGAATATCACCAGTACCACTATGGTAAGAAAGAGTTCCCTTCTCCAGGGAAAATAATTTGAGATAGGGAAGTTATGATTACAAAACAAAACCAAGCAAAGCGAGGGGATGGCCTTTGTTCAATACACATTTTACATATTCCAGAGAATGCTGGACTTACAGGAAGAGATGTTGTACATGGGTTGGGGAGTCAAAATGCCTCACAGTTAGAAGATGTAACTTCTCTTGCAGACTTGATGATATTATGGCCACTACACATCTCTTGAGAACATTAGAGATCTTCACTAGTTAAAATGAGGTCCAAGGCCCAGCAGCATTGACATCATGTAATACTTGTTAGAAAAGTTGAATCCCAAGTCCCAACCCAGACCTACTGAATCAGTATTTTCAGTTGATTTGTGTACATATTAAAGCTTGAGAAGCACAATTATAGAAGATACACAAGGTCTAAATCAGTGCAATGGACAATAAGAATGGAAAGAGACAGGTTTTCACATCTTAACAAAGATGTGAGTTGCTATGAGTCTATTTTGACTTATGGCAACCCAAATATGTCAGAGTAGGACTGTGCTTCATAGGATTTTCAAGGGCTGATTATTTGGAAGTAGATTACCAGGCCTTTTCCCAAGGTATCTCTGGGCGTACTCGACCTCCAGCCTTTCAGGTAGGAGCCAAGTGCATTACCGTTTGTACCACCCAAGGACTTCTTTTATTATTATTATTATTAATTTTTATTTTTTAAATTTTATTTTGATTTGGGTGAAGATTTACAGAGTAAATTCACTTTTCATACAGCAGTTCACATATACTTTGTCTCATGTCATTGACCAAAATTTACAATGCAACAGCTCCCCTCCCACTTTCTCCCCATAGTTACCTCCTCCCAGTGTCCATCCCTTCATACTCTTCTGCACCCTGAGCTATCTCCCTGTGCATAAGCAGCCCTCCCTTCTACCATGATTATTCTCTCCAGGGTGTGTGTCTACTTGAGGTAAATGTTTAACTCACATGTCTGTACTTTGTTTGGCTGGAAACCACAGGTGTGGGTTCAATTCCAGACCTGAAGGGCAGCTAGGGGCCATAGTCTCAGTGGTTACACCAGGCTCTATTGGACCAGCAAAACTGGTCCCCACCTTTTTTTTTTTTTTTTCCAAATGATTTTGAGTTTTGTTCCATATTGTTCTCCTTCTCTATGCAGGATCTCCTACATCCCTTCCAAGTGGATGACAGTGGTAGCCGGGCACCATCTAGTTCTTCTGGTCTCATAGTTGTATAGGTTGCAGATCGGATGGTGTACCAGTTGCTAGGACTGATTGTTTCCATTAATTTTGGTTTTCTTCTTTCTTCTTGATGAGGAGAGACCCGTTGTTGCATCTAGATGGCAGCTTGCTAGCTTTTAAGATCCCAGTCGCTACTAGCCAAAGTAGTAGGTGGAACAATGTTTTGTATAGTATGTTATGCCAATTGAGCTTGATGTCCCCTGTGACTATGGTCCCAAGCCCGCAGGATCAACTACTCGGTCCCTCTGGGTAGCTGGCTGTGACCAAGCAATGACCATAACCTTGCCCCTTGTCAGCTCTACTATACACCTGGGAATTCTGATCATTCACATGAACTTATAGGCCCATCGTCTGCCAACCCTATATATGATCTTGGATACACTCCCCATTTAGACATACCTAATTGTTTAGCTTGTTCACCTATCTATCCGTCCATATACCCATGTTTGCTTTCACTGACAACTCAGTACTATATATGCAAAGGGGTTCATATTTGTTGTCTGTACTGCCCATGTAACTCTCTATGTCTTTCTCATCCTCAATGCTGCCATATTGGTCACTCCCATTTGGTACATTGCTCTTCTCTTCACCCAAATCAATATTTATCTCTATCTATCTGAAAGTGTTCCCTCCCCTCCCCTCCCACCCCTGGTAACCAACAAAGAAAATGTCCTCCAATAGATAAACCTTTCCTTAACTTTTACAATAATGGACTAATACAATATTTGTCCTTTTGTGACTGACTTATTTCGCTCAGCATAATGTCCTCCAAGTTCATCCACGTTATGCGGTGTTTTGCAGATTTTACATTATTCTTTAGTGTTGCATAGTATTCCATTGTGTGTATGTACCATAGTTTGGATATCCATTCCTCAGTTGTTGGACATCTAGGTTGTTTCCAAGTTTTGTCTATTGTAAATAGTGCTGCGATGAACATCGGCATGCATATATCTGTTCTTGTTATGGCTCTCACTTCTTTAGGGTATATACCTTGTAATGGGATGGCTGGGTCAAATGGTATTTGTATTTCCAACTTTTGAAGGAATTGCCATACTGCTTTCCACATGGTTGTACCATTTGACAGTCCCACCAGCAGTGTATGAGAGTCCCAATCTCTCCACAACCTCGCCAGCATTTGTTATTTTCTGTCTTGTTGAACTTTGATACTAGTGCTGGAGCAAGATGGTATCTCATTGTTGTTTTGATTTGCATCTCTCTAATAGCTAATGATCATGAGCATTTCTTCATATGTTTGTTGGCCGCTTGAATATCCTCCTTGGTGAAGTGTCTATTCATGTCTTCTGCCCATTTTTTAATTGGGTTGTTTGTCTTTTTGTTATTGAGGTGTTGGAGTGTTCTATAAATTCTAGAGATAAGTCCCTTGTCAGATATGTTATTACCAAATATTTTTTCCCAATCTGTAGGTTCTCTTTTGACTCTTTTGGAGAGGCCTTTGGAAGCACATAAAAATTTAATTTTTAGAAGGTCCCAATCATCTGGCTTCTCTTCTGCTGTTTGTGCATTTTGAATTATGCTTGATAGTCTATTTATACCATATATAGGGCCCTTAAGTTTGACCCTAAATTTTCCTTGAGAAACTGTATAGTTCTATGTTTCACATTTAAGTCTTTGATCCATCTGGAGTTCGTTTTTGTGTGTGGTGTGAGGTACAGATCTTGTTTCATTTTTCTGCAAATGGATCTCCAGTTTTGCCAGACCCAAGGACTTCTTAACAAAGAGAGGAAGCCTAAAAAGAAGCAAAATTTCAACAAAATAATTCATGCTTATGTTGTTGTTGTTATGTGCCATCAAGTCAGATCCGACTCACAGTGACCCCTCCTTGGGTTTCCGAGGCAGTATCACTACGGAAGTAGACTGCCCCATCTTCTTTCCCAGGAGTGGCTTGTGGATTTGAACCACCAGCCTTCTGATTAGCAGTCAAGTGCCTTAGGCATCATGCTACCAGAGCTCCCCATTCATGTTTATAGGGGTTTAAAATACTGTAGATAAATTTTTAGAATTTAGACAGTGTTTCAGTCTTAAAAAGGGAGAGTTCACTGGACTTTGGGTGAAGGGGAGTGTTAGAGAAGGTATGTTGAAGTAAATCCTGAGTCTTTTGTGGGTCAGGGAGAACCTCTGTAAACATTGCATCAGGGAATCCTGGAATTTGAAACTTTAAGGGGGGACCAGGAAACCCTACACTCAACATTATAAACTTGGATCTTCCTCTCATGGATGCATTAGAAAGGTGAATTGGATTTGGTCATTTCACTATGCATTTATGGAGACCTACATTATGTTGAAAATAGCAAATATCATTTAAAAACGATTTGTATTTCCCAACAGATGCTAAGAAAAATTCATTTACTCTAGAAATTTTCTAGCAGCCTTCCCCCATCCTCTTCCAGTTCCATTTAGATGGGGTCAGACTTGAAATTGAGATTTCGGAAGGAACCTCAGAAAGGAGCGCTCACACCCTTCTATGTTCAGCTAATGCCAGAAATAATTTTATTCTGGAATCTTGTTGGCTTGACTCCTTAGGTTATGTATCCACCTGTCTGGAGCATCTCCTTTTTGACCACAGTTATTGGCTCAACTGCAGGTTGGTGGAAGATACAGAGATCCAAGTCTCAGTAGATGATAAGCATCTGGAAACAATATACCTGGGACTCCTGATACAGGAAGGTAAGGATGGGGCTCTTCTCCAGGTATTTATTTTCAGAGTCCCAAAATAACCAGATTAGAAAGGGAGGAAAAAAAAGAATCATTCAAATGCGAACATGTTCATAAATGAACTGACATTACAAACATCCCTCTCACTTTGACACTGACATGAATAGCTGTGTTGACCCATCCTGCTGATTGATGTTAGAACCACCTGGGAAATTTTAAAAAGATGCTCATGTGAGGCTTTACTCAGGCCAGTTAAATATTCAGAGGTGGGCTCCAGGCTTTAGTAGTTTTAGAAAGTTGCCCAGGTAATTATAATGTGCATTCAAGCTTAAGAATCATTTTTCTAAACATATGCTATAAATTGACTGTAAAATAAAATTGCAAATTTTGTGAAACCTGAAGGATTTGTGAAATTGAGGAAAGTGATGTTGGGGAACTGCTAGAAGCACCTGCCAACCTGTTTACATGCCAACTGTTACAAGCAACCTGTTAACAATGGAAGTGGACAATCCTGCTGAAATAATAGACATATTGAGAGATTGATTTGCATAAAGCCTTAGAGTTTTTTTTTCAAAAATGATTCTTTTTATGATTGCAAAGCACATATTATATAAGAAAGAAAAAATTTCACACTGTGCTATTGTAAAATTTAGATGGAGAGATGTTCACCCAAATCAGCATAGTACATTCTCTGTTGGTTCTAAGATTGAGTGTGAGGTTGCAATGATAGCTTAAGTTCTGTTCAATCTAAATATATTTTCATGAATGTTTGTTTCATTTATTTTCAAGGTAAAGTCACAATCAAACTTTATTTTCATGAATACTCAAGACATTTTGGTGCCTATTTTAAATGAATCCCCTCTAAGTGGCTTTTTCCTGGTACCAGTTTTCCTGTGATCACAAGGACCTCTTGTAGTCTCTCCTGGCAGACTGTCTGTCCTGGGGAAGATAAATTTTGGGGCTCTGAATAGACACAATACATTGTGTGATAATCACAGTCACTGCCTGCTACTCTTTGGAAAGGGCTTTTCTCATTATCTACAGGCCACTTCTTCTGCAGAGCTATGTGCTCAGTGGCTCAGCCAGTCGAGAAGGAAGGGGAGTGTTTAACATTTTGCAAGAACGAGCTAATCTCTGTGAAGATCACTGAAGAGGAGGCTGAGTGGGAAGGTGTGTCCTTGGTGACGAGTCAGCGGGGCCTTGTGCCCATGTCAGCCCTGGAGCCCCTGATGCTCCCTTTCCACCAGTGAGTAACTCCCCACCTTATGGAAGAGGGTCCCAGAGCAGCTGGAAGCCCTGCACTGAATCTGAGTAGGCCTGGTTCAGATATCTGCATCCAACCCACCACTTGCCTTGGAGTCAATTCCAAATCATGGTGAATCCATATATGTCAGAGCAGCACTGTACTCCATAAGGTATCAATGGCTGATTTTTTCAGAAGTAGATCACCAGGCCTTCCTTCTGAGGCCTCTTTAGGTGGACTCAAACCTCCAACTTTTCAGTTAGCAGTTGAGCTCATTAACTATTTGTATCACCCAGGGATTCCATGGACATCCAAGATGCAAGGAAAGAATAAAATCTGTGATTTTAAATATTTTGTTATTCTAGTTAAGGTTTACGTAATTTGATGAAATGGTAGACAAACTTTAAATTTTAGATGAACATTATAAGAAATTATGGCACATGGCCTCTAATACATTTCTCAATGGCTGGACTGGGAACCACAATTAGATTGGGGATTTTATTACAAGTTCAAACCCTTGGACCCTCCTCAGACCCACTGGGTCAGAGTCTCTCTTCAGTGGTAGGTTGAGTTCAGAAATCCACATTTTCAATAAACTCCCCAAAGGACTATTTTTTATATTAGAGTTTGAAAATCTCTGCTGGAAAATATCATAAACTTCAATATATAGAGTGATAATAAACATCACAGGAGGCCAATGACCCATGTGTGTGATTCTGACAGAGAATCTGACAGTGAGAATGTAATGGGATCATTTGCTAGTTATTTAACTGACAAACTAATTGCAGAACAGGAAACATCCCAGGCCTTCTGAACGTCTCTCCTTTCATGGTGCCTGGCACAAATTGAGTTCTCAATAAATATTTTCTATCATTAGAAGAGTAATAACAATAATACCTATTATCATGATTGTTAGTCTATTGGCCTATTCTGATCATTGTTTTTATTTTTTAAATTCTTGCTTGCCAACTTCATGTTTCCATTGGCAGATGGTTTCTGAAGAATTATCCAGGAAGCTGCGGCCTTTCCAGGAACAAGGATTGGACAGGCTCCTATCAGACCGGTATGTCTGAGTTGAAGATAGTGTTAGGGAGATAATGTTGTCCTGCCTTCTAATTTTATCTGTAGGTTGGGAGTCAGTTAATGTGAATTCCTGTCTCACCTTTGCTACTGTTTGGATTTAAGGAAGTTGGTTACCATCTGGACACATAGATTTCCTTGCCTATGAAATGAGAGGTGTGTGGTCTCCATCCAGGGCTAGAGACACAAGTGCCCACAGGGGCAGGCAGAAGGGATGTGGGAGGGCCTGGATGGGAGATGTTAGGGGATGGCAGGGACAGTAGGGCTTTGAAGATATTTTTGGGAAAAATAATCCCTAAGTGGGCCAAATTAAATGTTTTGTGAGCCAATGTGCTTGCAACTTCTGGTTTAAATCTTTTCTGATTTCTTTCAGAGTTTTGTGAAATTAACCTTAAATTTAGGAAGAATAAGAATGTCTGGCACATAATGGGTACTCAGTAAATATTAGTTGAATAAATTGATGAAATATATATATATATACACACACACATACATGTATATGCATATATGGAAGCTCTGGTGGCATAGTGCCTAAGGCATTTAACTGCTAACCAGAAGGCTTGTAGTTCAAACCCACCAGACACTCCCCAGAAGGAAGATTGGGTAATCTACCATAGAGATACTGCCTCAGAAACCCAAGGAGGGGACTCGATGGCAGTGAGTTTGGTTTGGTTTATATGCATATATATTTCTACATACATATGTACAGACATGCATTTTAGGTAACCTTTCTCTTTTTGTATGAGTGTATGCGTGAGTGAGTGTGTATATACATATTCATATACATATACATACATATGCATGCATGTTTATATATATATATATACTTACATATGAGGAGGAGCTCTGATAGTGTAGTGCCTAAAGCATTTGACTGCTAACCAGAAGGCTGGTGGTTCAAATCCACCAGCCACTCCTTGGAAGGAAGACTGGGCAATCTACTTCCATAGTGATACCTCCTCAGAAACCCAAGGAGGGGTTGCTATGAGTCGGATATGACTCTGCAGCAGTGCGTTTTGTTTTGTTTTTTTGGTATATATGAGGAGCCCTGGTGGCACAGTGGTTAAGTGCTCGTGCTCTGCTACTAACCAAAATGTTAATGGTTTTTATCCACCAGCTACTCTGCAAGAAAAAGATGAGGCAGTCAGCTTCTGTAAAGATTACAGCCTTGAAAACTCTATGCGGGAGTTCTACTCAGTCCTATAGGGTAGCTATGAGTGAGAATCTACTCAATGGTAATGGGCATACAAGTATACATACATGCATACATCTATATGTATGCATATATTCACTCATATATCCACAACTATGTTTTTATCCATTGGATAAGCCTCCAATGTTTCCTAGGTTTCTAGACTAGACATTTCTCTTATTTTCAACCTCAGAGCCTCCCCATGTCTAGTACAAAGTGCAGTTTTACAAATTTTAAACTCAAACAGTGGGTTAAAAAAGAAGAAATAGGACTATGGATTCCTGTTATTAGACCTAGTCAATAATCGACTGTAAACAATATTTTTACCTTTCTTAATTCATGGGGTTCTGTGGTTAAGAACATGGGTTTTGGAGTCAAGCAGTTCTGAATTCAAATTTAGCCTCCACAACTTAAAACCACAGTGATCTTGGCCAACTGATATACCCTCACTAAGCCACTGCTTCTTCATCTGCAAAATGATATTAAAAAACCTATATCAAATGTTGTGAGAACTAAACAAAATGGCATCTGTCAATCACTTAAGACAGTTTCTGTCACATTGTAAATATTTAACACACATTAGCTTCTACTATCCCACAAAGCAGTGGGAATTTGTGACTTTGAAGACATAATCAGTGAAAATGTGACTCGCAACCTCAGAAAAATAACCCACTAGCTATAGCAGAGGAGCTAAAGCAAACACAGAAACTGAGACACATCAAAGCCATTCTCCCATCCAGAGTGTGTTTAGTGGAAAGTGGGGTAAGCCAGTGGTTGGAAGATTTAACCCCTAGGGTCAGTTTTGGTACATATAAACTCCATAGACAAATCATGTAACTTCTCTATGCTTCCATGAAAAGGAGGCAAACCTACCTTTTGGGGATCTTAGGAAGATAATAGATGTAAATGTACTTTATAAACTGCTCATAAAATAGGCTATTATGAGGTATTAGTTAAGCAATTTATCAAATTGGAAAATTACATAGATAGAAACAGGGTCTTCGAGACACTTTTTAATTACCAGCAATTTCCTACTTCACCAGTTGTTATGAGGCTAACATTTACTGAGTGTTGACTATATTAAATATGGTGCACTTTATTGCTTTGACTCTTCCCAATATTTATAAGAGGTCATATTCTTATTGTCCCCATTTTATGGCTGGGGAAACTGATCAAAAGGACCCAAAAAGAAATGTAGAGATCCTCCAGTACAATGATTCTCATGTGCTGGTCACTCATGAGGAGGTGTTTATATGATAGTGGCAAAAAAAAAAAAAAAAAAAATCAGACAAACCAGCACAAAGGATTGAATTTTCCATAAACTAAGTGTATTCAGTTTGTAAGGCATGTCAAGTATTCTGAGATGATCTTTCCTCCAATTGCTAAAATATCTTTTTTTTTTTTTTTTTTTTTTAATAAAAAGATGATGAAAGTGTATGGTAGTTCTTTTCTTTTCTTTTTTTTTTCCCTGAATGTCATAGTTTGGCAAAATGAAAAATTAGTAACTCTATATCACTTCTGCCAATTTTCTTTTTATTGTTTGTTTATTAAATTTCACCAGTCCTTGAAATCCCAAAGTCTGGGAACCCCTCATTTCACATTGCATTGGAATGCAGTAGAGGGCTTAGCTGTCATGCTTTATTTAGTTGACATGTACTATTTCCCCACAGGCAGAGGAAAATGTAAGGCCATGAAAGGTTATGAGAGAGAAGAAGAGGATGAACTGAGTTTCTGCCAAGGAGAAAACCTTGAGATCATTGGCTTTGTTATACCTGGGCTTCAGTGGTTCCTTGGGAAGTCAACAAGCTCAGGAAAAGTGGGCTTTGTCCCCACCAGGAACATAGATCCTGATTCTTATTCCCCAATGTGAGTATGACACAGAGACCTTTGGGGGTGTCCTGGACCAGGGCTGCCTCCCCAGTGGTTATTTCCCTCTTTGAATAGATTTGTAGACAAGCTTCATGGTTTCCCTGGGAATATGGAGCCAGAGAAACATATTGTAACCACCAAAGTTGATATAGAGAATGTTAGGAAGGAGAGGGTAAGTGATCAGTGAATTGGTCAGTTCAATCTATTTCAACAGGTGTTCAGTGAGGCCTTTTTCTGTGCAAGGAGAAAAACACAGCTCCAAGGTGATGGAACTGAGGATGCAGTTTTGGTACTTGTATTCTGCCAGTGACTGACTCTTCCAACAAGGGTCCCTATCAAGGGAAGTGCACACAAAGGGACCAATAGATGACAAATGTGGTGAATGGAGATTCCCCTAGATGTAGATCTGTCTGCTGAAAGCTTAATTTGTGAGGGTAAACTGCATCTTTCTACTCTCTTCTGCCTTAAATCTAGAAGGATTTGTTCTGAGGAGCAGACTCCACCCACCTGAGTGGTAGATATGAGGGACAGAGCTTAGGAGTATTGCCTGCTCTCCCTTGGGTGGGCTTCCTGCATGGCGTCAGGAAACAATGTAAAACTTGCTGGGACCCAGCAGCACAAACATGGAGTTGTTCCTACCTTTGAGGCAATATTACCCTCCACATTGGATATCTTAGTTACTCATTACTGTTATAACAGAAATACCACAAGTGAGTGGCTTTAACAAACTAAAATTTATGTTCTCAAAGTTTGGGTGTCTAGGAGTCTGAATTCAGGGTGTTGGCTCTAGGAGAAAGCTTTCTCTCTCTTTTGGCTTTAGAGGAAGGTCCTTGTGTCTTCTGAGTTTCTGCTTTTGGGCAATCTGCACATGACTTGGCATCTCTCTTCCTCCTTCTCTGTATCCTAGCTTACTTGTTTAATCTCTCTTATATCTAAAAATAGATTGACTCAAGCTACAGTGCCTAAGGCACTTGACTGCTAACCAGAAGGCTGGCGGTTCAAACCCACCAGCCACTCCTCGGAAGGAAGGTTGGACAATCCTACTTCTGTAATGATACTGCCTCGGAAACCCAAGGAGGGGTCACTATGAGTCAGGGCTGACTCAATGGCATACAACAACAACACCCTATGCTAATCCTGCCTTATTAACATAGCAAAGACAACCCATTCTCAAAAGGGATTATAACCACAGACATAGAGGTTAGTGGGAGCTCTGGTAGCATAGTGGCTAAGACACTTGACTGCTAACCAGCAGGTTGGTGGTTCAAACCCACTGGCCACTCCTTGGAAGGAAGATGGGGCAATCTACTTCCGTAGTGATACTGCCTTGGAAAGCCAAGGAGGGGTCGCTATGAGTTGGGTCTGACTTGACGGCACATAACAACAACAACAACAACAAAATATATATAAAACACTTAGAATGATGCCTGGGACTGTGAAAGAGTTGTTAGTTGCCATCTAGTTGGTTCTGACTCATAGGTCTCTATGTATGACAGAATGAAACACTGCCTGGTCATATGCCATCCTCACAATCTTTGCTATGTTTGAGTCCATCCTTACAGGCAATGTGTCAATCCACCTCGTTGAGGATCTTCCCCTTTTTCACTGACCCTCTACTTTACCAAGCATGATATCCTTCTCCAGGGATTAGTCTCTTCTGACAATATGACTGACATATATTAGTTATAATGATTGCTTTTGCTCTTGTTATGGATAGTGTTGGTGATCCTTGAGAGGCAATTTTAAGAGGATATTGGTGGCAGATGTCATATTTCATAAATAATATTTGGATTTCTGCATTTCATGCCTTGCCCTGAATGACAATAACTCAGTATGACTAAATTAATTTGATGATTATATTTTAGCAGGCTTATTCGTAGGGACACACTCTCACACTGTAGAACACCTGTGTCACAGTGATGACAATGAGCTTTTCTCCTTATTGCTGCAATGCCATCTATTAGCCTCTATAGTATTCATATTAGCTTGTGGCATTCAATGTATCAAGACCAAACATTCTTTAGGGAAGGGGAAAGTAAGCCCAGGAAACAAGGAGGGGTGGAAGGAGAGGAGTGGGAAACTGGTTGCTTGTATGCCCCTCAAGCACTCTGTGGATTACAGACATCCCCAAACCACAGCAGTTAGGATGGATTTTGAGCTGAGAAGAAGGACAGCTAAACAACCTGGATGTAAGCAGTAGCCAAGGTGTGGAAGTCTGTGCACTGTGCCAGTGGTCTGGCCACTGGGTGTCACTCTTAGACTATGCTCCTTTGAAATCAGGTTTTTGAAGAGCTCAGTATTTACAGAAGTCTCTCTCCTGTCCTGCATAGATCCCCTCCCCATGCTGGCATTTTACCCCTAGAAGATTTATTGACCAAATTAGCAGTATATTGACAATGAGATTTCTCAGAAACTGTCTTCTGATTCAGATTTAGCCTCTGACACATGGGAAAAGGATTTTGCTGGTTGTGAGCTTCTTTTCTTTACAACATAAATTTCAACACAGGTAACCACTTTTAATTAAATAATTTAAAAAAGCCCACAAGAGCCAAAATATGACCTTGATTATTTCCCTCCTGAATTTAGAGACCATTTAAAGAATAGATTTGATGCATTGAACAACAGTGACAGAAAACCAGAGCAATTGTGGGATGACATCAAGAACATCACTCATGAAGAAAGCAGAAGGTCACTAAAAAGACAGAAAAGGAAGAAAAGACCAAAATGGATATCAGAAGAGACTCTGAAACTTGCCCTTGAATGGAGAGTAGCTAAAGCAAGTGGAAGAAATGAGTAGATAAAAGAGTTAAACAGAAGATTTCAAAGAGCAGTTCCAGAAGATAAAGTCAATTTTTTTAATGAAATGTGCAAAGACCTGGAGTTGGAAAGCCAAAAGGGAAGAACACACCCAGCATTTCTCAAGCTGAAAGAACTGAAGAGTAAGTTTAAGCCTCGAGTTGCAATGTTGAAAGATTCTATGGGCAATACATTGAATGATACAGAAAACATCAAAAGAAGATGGAAGGTTACATGCACACAATGGAATGCTGTGCAGCACTGAAGAATGATATAGGGTCTGCAAAACATTGCATAACATGGATGAATTTGGAGGACATTATGCTGAGTGAAATAAGTTAATCATGGAAGGACAAATATAGTATGAGTTCCTCGTTGTGGAGGGTCAAGCAAAAGTTTATATATGGAGAGAAACTTTCTTTATTGGTTGCAGGGGTGGGAGGGGAAGGGAGGAAACACTGAAAAAAAATGCATTGACACATGTCACTTTAGTTTTGTGTATTTCACTGTACATAAATTATATTTCAATAAAATGTATTAAAAGAAGAAGGAGGAGGAGGAAGGGGCGGGGGTGAAGGGAGAAGGAAGGAAGGAATACACAGAGCCACTTTACAAAAAAGAATTGGTTGAGGTTCATCCATTTCAGGAGGTGGCATATGATCAAAAACAATGATATTGAAGGAAAAAGTTAAGCTGCACTGAGGGAAGTGGCAAAAATCAAGGCTCCAGGAATTGATGGGATACCCATTGAGATGTTTCAACAAATGGATGGCACACTAGAGGGTCTCACTTAGCTATGCTGAGAGATTTGGAAGACAACTACCTGGCCAACTGACTGGAAAAGATCCATATTTGTACCCATATCAAAGAAAGGTGATCTCACAGAATGTGGAAATTATCCAACAATATCATTAACATAGCATACAAGTAAAATGTTACTGAAGATCATTCAAAAATGGTTACAACAGTATATTGACAATGAACTTCCAGAAAGCAAGCTGGATTTAGAAGAGGACAAGGAACAAGGGATATCATTGCTGATGTCAGATGGATCTTGGCTGAAAGCAAAGAACACCAGAAAGATGTTTCTTATATTTTATTGACTATGCAAAAGCATTCAATTGTATGAATCATAACAAATTATGGATAACATTGAGAAGAGTGGGAATTCTGGAACACTAAATTGTGCTCACAAGGAATTTGCACATACACCAAGAGGCTGTCATTTGAGCAGAACGAGGGGACACTGTATGGTTTAAAATCAAGAAGGGAGTGCATCAGGGTTGTATCCTTTTGCCATACTTATTCAATCTGTATGCTGAACAAATAATCTGAGAATCTAGACTATATGAAGAAGAACATGGCATCAGGATTGGAGGAAGACTCATTAACAACCTGTGATATAACTTTGCTTGCTGAAAGTGGGATGACTTGAAGCAAGTACTGATGAAGATTGAAGACCACAGTCTGCAGTATGGATTATACCTCAATATGAAGAAAACAAAAATCCTCACAATGGGACAAATAAGCAGCATCACAATAGATGGAGAAAAGATTGAAGTTGTCAAAGGCTTCATATTATTTGGTTCTACAATCAACACCAATGGAAGTAACAGTCAAGATATCAGATGTTGTATGTTGTTGTTGTTATGATAGCATTGGGCAAATCTGCAACAAGGACCTCTTTGAAGTGCTGAAGAGCAAAGATATTTTCTTGAAGACTGTTAGTAGGTGCGCTTGACATAAGCCATGGTATTTTCAATCACCAAATAGGCATGTGAGAGCTGGACAATGCAAAAAGAAGACTGAAGAAGAGTCAATGCTTTTGAGTTGTGGTGTTGGCAAAGAATTCTGAAAGTACCATGGACTGCTAAAAGAACGAAAAAATCTGTCCTGGAAGAAGTGGTGCTGGAATGCTCCTTGGAAGCGAGAATGGCCAAACTTCGTCTCATATACTTTGGTCATGTTGTAAGAAGGGACCATTCTCTGGAGAAGGATATCATGCTTGGCAAAGTGGAGGGACAACAAAGATGAGGAAGGCCCTCAACAAGATGGATTGACACAGTGGCTGCAACAATGGGCTCAGGTATAGCAAGGATCATGGGGCTGGCACAGGACCAAGCAGTGTTTTGTTTTGCTGTACATAAGGTTTCTATGAGTTGGAGATGACTCGATGGCACCTAAAAACACAACAACCTACT